CTGTATGACGGAAGAGTTTTCTACAAGATCTTCTTTATAATTTGTATAATAGAAGATGTAATCTTCATAAATATTGTGTAGTCCAAATTTCCCCCACCGACAATCCGAAAACTGATTGTATTATTAACTTGTTCTCGTCGTGAACATGCATGAAATATTTCCCACTGGACGTTTAGCAAGCAACAATCAATCTTTCATGGATTTTCTCCCGACATTTTGACATAAAGTCCATGTTGATACGTACTTTAAAAAATATGCAGAGAGAAATAAGCCAGCATGACAAATTATGATAGTCTAATTATAAATAAAGGCAACAGTAGTAGACCGCTTAAAGTAATTGTGGTTGACAAATATAAACTCCAAGTTAACTCTATGTTGCTCTTCGTGTCTTGTTCACTAAGCTGATTATTTGTTAGTATTATTTAAAACTGTTCTCATGTTAACAATATTACAATTTTTGCACACGGATTCCTTCATTTATTTACACTTCTTTAATAGTCATGACCCCCCCAAGGGTGACTGGGGAATAGAAGCATGGTGACCATCGGTCTTCCTCCGACCGGCAGTAGAACCCTTGCTGAAGTGGGGCGTCCGTTTGGCTGTGCGGGATGTACAAATTTGCAGCCACGTCCGGTCAGAATGGGGACGATAAATCCGATGTCTCGTGTAAAGAGAGTGCCACGCTCTTTGCACGTTAAGAACCATTGCAACAACTCTTTGAGGGGTCCGTAGGTGACCTGTTGCAAGGCTAAATTTCTGTCCCTATCCAATATACCCTCATTTCCGGTGGCAGTCTAAATTTCTCCGACCTGAATCCCGGACGCGCTTATTACAGAACCTACCTATTGTATTTATTGTTAATTTGTTCTCGTCCTGAATATGCATGAAATATTTGCCACTGGACGTTAAGCAACCAACAATCAATCAATCAATTAATAGTCATGAAGATATAATTCCTGTTGTTCATATAAAACAGAATACACATACTTTAAAAAAATGGTTACAACAGCTGTAACGTAAAAACGAAGGAAGATATATTATGGTGAACAATCATAATTAAATGGATTAACAAAGTATACTTAAATGTAATTTGTTTATTGAAAAACCAGAATGCGTATATATAGATGTTTGTCAAGATATGTCCTTTTTCAAACAAGAATGTATATACTGAAATGTCTCAACTGCTTTACTAATATTAAAAGTCTGGTGTGATTCAAGGATTATACAAAAATATAGCTTGTTGCTGATATCACACATGAATAATTCGACTCGAGTGAAATGAAACCCAATTTCAGACATATCAAATGCATTGGTATTTATATGTGGTGTAGTATTACGTATAAGATAAAAGATTTGAGAAGTAAAAAATATAATAAAGTCGAACTGTGGTAGAATCTGGTGCCTACATTAATATATCATATATGAAAAGAAATTAATATCCAACCGCAATAATAGTACATTAAGATCAGTATTACATTAATGAATAATATGTAAACAATATCCTAACCGTTTGAAAAGCCACAACGCCAGACTATGGGTAATAATCTTTGCATGTAGAACCGTATAACTGCATCTCTTTAGCAGTGACTTTTTAAATATATATAACATATTTACATAACACTTCCATATACTTGTCATTTAGTAAATCCTGCATACGAAACTACCATTTCATCGTATTCCCTTTGAGCATCCGCTGACAAGTAATACTCTTTTCCGTCTTGATGATCAAGGGATATTTTGTAATATACACAATCAAAACCTTCCATTCAACTTTTAGTTAGTTCTGCAAAAATTTACTTTTACAACTTTTTTGGAAATTCCAGCCAAAAAGTCTTTAATTTACAATAAATGTTAATTTCTTTTCAAGACATAAAACATTAATCAGTTCATTTATAATGATGAATAGGACAACTGATTATCATAGGCATTAAATATATAACTGTGCATAATATTCACTAATCCATCGTTTGCTTTGTTGCTATTATCTTACCTTTTCAATGGGCAAGCTGAAAGAAGAAAATGCTGTTCTTGTTGATGATGCAGCTTGAACTATTACAAACCACTAAAATAGAGCAAATATTAGTAAAAATGTTAACATTACTAAACAATCATCTTCGTTGATATTTTCTTTAAAATTTGTTTCAATTTTAGATATATAGCTTTTAAACCCAAAATTAAAGAGTACATGGAAGTAGCAGCTAAATCATTCACAATATGTTTGTCTTATATGAAATACAACACCTTTCATTGAATAAATATTTTGTGCGGTACTAATTGAAAGTGTTCTAATTTTTCATCTGGCATGTAACAATATGTGTATGAAAATATGCAAATTGTGTCCTCTTTTCCAGAAAAATTTCCACTCTGCCCTCCTTTAACTGTAAATCCTCAGAAAATATTCATAAAAATAATATTTCAATGAAATAGTTCAACTTAAACTTTGCACAAACGTACCAATTATTCTTATAATAAACTGATTTTATTTAAAATACTCATTTTCTTCAGGTCTAAAAGGATCTTCAGCACATCTCCTTATTCAATTTTTAGATAAATGCCTTATTATACCTTGATAATAGCCCTATCTTGTAAAAACTTGATCTTGTTTCATTGGCAGATTGTCTGCTAGTAGATCTTCTGCTAGTGGACCGTCTTCTAGATGGGCTTCTGAAAGAAGTCCTCCTCGAACTGCTTCTTTTACTGGAGGAACTAGGCCTTCTGTAATCTGATGTTTTACTAACAGAACAGAACGCCTCCTCGATCTGCTTCTTTTATTGGAGGAACTAGGCCCTTTGTAATATAATGTCCGATTTTCAGAACCCCTCCACGATCTGCTTCTTTTACTTGAGGAATTAGACCCTCTGTAATCTGATGTTCTACTTTCCGAGGGCCTCCTAGGTCTGCTTCTTTTATTGGAGGAACTAGGCCTTCTGAAATCTGATGTCCTTTTCATAGAATGCCTCCTTGATCTGCTTCTTTTACTGGAGGACATAGTAAATATAGAGAAACGTTTGGGATCACCATCAACCCTGAACATTTTTTGGTCATTCGGAATTGCCTTATATTTCATCTCTAGTGACGATATCATATCGTATCATATAATAAAGAAAAATGCAGGGAACACTACACGAAGAAACGAGGAGAAAATAGCAAAACATCAGCTCAGAAGTGTTGATGAATGTTTGAATATTCGAGAGGCCAATACATTAACTTCTCAAGTTCTTGCAGTTCTGTCGTCTTCTCAAGAAACAATATGAGGAAGTGAACGCAGATGCACAAGAATATGGCCAGTATGGTGACGGTGTACCCCGTGATAAGGAGCAAGGTTTTTTTTAAAGTCCAGTGGCAATATTTTATGCAAGTTCAGTTACACTAAATTCAATAGGAAAGTCTTGTAAAAGAGGCATCCGGGATGAAGGTCGGAGAATTTTTTACTGTCACTAGTATATTTGATTGGGACAGAAATTTTTTTTCTGCAACGGGTCACCTACGGACCCCTTTTGTTTAATCAGGATATGGAGTTTATATCAAGTGTGTTTGGTCATTATTTCTAGCTTAGTCGTCAGTCGTCTAGAAAGTGCTATGGTGCAAACAATCTGATAATTGTGCTATTTTCAGTTTCAATAATAAAACTTGTCATTTTCATATAATTGACTTTCGTTAACACCAGATCAAATGATAAAACACATCAAATAAATGAATTTACTTTAACATTATATTGTCTGTTGCACAATGACGGGTAGTTTTAGTACAGAGCCATGTCCAAAAGAACAGATTTAACAGTACAAGTAATATTCATAAAGACAAATAATAGAACTAAAACACGTTATTAAGATGATAAACAACGTATATAGATGTACGTAAGAAGATGTGGTATGAGTGCCAATCAGACAACTCTCCATTCAAATTATAAATGTAAACCATTATAGATCAAAGTAGAGTCTTCAACACGGAGCATTGGCTCACACTGCACAAGAAGATCTAAAGGGCCCAAAAAATTACTAGTGTAGAACCATTCAAACGAGAAAACCAACGGTATAATCTATATAAAAAACGTGAAACACGGTAAACAATAAGCAAACTACTGAACATCAGATTCCTCACTTATGACAGGTGCAAACAATAGCTGCGGTTGTAAACGTTGTAATGTCACCAAACCTTCACCCTTCACTACCATAAATTTATACTTCAAGACCATCGGGGAATATATATGAAGTTGATTCGGAATATTTATCGACAAGGTATTGATACCTTTCGGGTGATATTTTGAAAGAATAACGACAAGACGTTCTTTGACATACCCTTTCTGGCCATGATACACTGATTTGACTTGTGGCCTGCATAATGCCTTGTATTTAATCTGAAATCAGTGATCTGCACTTGGGAGATCAATTTAACACATTAAAACACAGAATTTCTGGTTTTTCATTGTTTTTTCTTTGATATCCTTAAGATAAACCCATAAAAAAGTTGGGGTCAGGTGGTAAAATAGGGGAGGTTGTATTCAGATTTATTCAACGGAAAGGTCACCAAGGTATTGACTTCTGTCTCGAATGATTCCTTTACAACTGTTCAAACTGTTGTGAGGAGAGGCAGAAACAGGAAAATTTGTAATTGTTTTCATTGTAAGCAGATTTGTTGATAGACTTTAGTTGGAACATTCAACCAACAAATTGCCTGATCTCATTTTTGAAACTTTTTTTACAGTGCCTGCAATGCTTTGAATTTGTTTGTGAATCACAAAGGGAGATAACCCCCAAGGGTGACTGGGGAATAGAAGTGTGGTCACTTGGTCTTCTTCCGACCGGCAGTAAAACGCTTGCAAAGTGGGGCGTCCGTTTGGCTGTGCGGGATGTATCAAGTTTGCAGCCAAGTCCGGTCAGAATGGTCGGTTGTGGAAACATGAAATATAACCAGATTTAAACCACAAGTATGGGCGTGAAATTGAGACCTCCATGAAATAATATTTTCAAATTATTTCATGGAGGTCTTACATATTTCAACTAAGTAAAGTCCTCAGACGGTAATGCCTCCCGAGTTTTTAATACTGAACATGCTGGTATCACCTTTCTTATTTTTTTACCAAGAATATGCCAGATCCAACGAGTGAATCGTCTGTACGCAACATATTTATATAATCTGAAAAAAAATACATATTTAACAGATTATTCAAATTCTTTATACAAATTGATTCTCAAATTTTGAACAAGGATATTATTATAACTGATTTATCAGTATGCTGAAAATTTGATTAAGATGATTTCATATTTTCATGATGATATATTTGTTTATCCAGATTAATAATTATTTTGCCTTGTTTTCCATTTCATCATCAGCTTGGTCTTGATATTTTTTTTATTATGTTTCTGATTGAAATTGTAATTAAAAAATGATAGTTGTGAAGTTAAATTTATGTTAAATCGACTATATTAAATTGGTCCCTGCCTTTCAACAAAGCCATACAAAGAGACCTCAATGACATGTCTATTTAGACAGTTTCCAGTGAACCACTCATGGTCTGTTATGCAATCAAGGTCCCCATCTTCAATCTTTTCTGCAACCTGACCAACTTCCTTGCAACAAATGCATTCATCCACAGTGGGTATTACAGTACAGTTGTTACAGTCACACCTGGGACATTTAATGTACAATGTACTTGTAGATTTGACTTGCAAATATTTTACAATAAATCCTTAAGATCCATGATTACAATGTAAATTTGTAAAAATAGGTCAAGTAATTTATAGTCAGCCAGTGTCCTTTTAAGAACTTTTCTTTTGAGAATATCTGATGAATATCAATACTACATTTTGCTTAAAGTAACTCTGTAAAAAAAATTCTTTTTAGAAATCAATTGAAACAAAGTATCATTCAATTAAGAGTACTTGGGATTTTAACCTTTATTGCCAAAAATGATTGAAAGAGGAGATGTGTCCAAACAACATGAATGACTCGGCTGCAATAGGCCAAAGCCTGTAATTTGGTTTGGATCCAGTAATGTTTAACCTCGCTGCATATATATAATATGTACCTATCCAAAGTCAGGAGCCTGTAATTTTAAAGTTGTCACTTATTGCTGTGTTTCATATTTGTTTTTTCAATAATTGTTTTTTTACAAGTCTGGCCATTGGTTTGTCACCATATGAATCGTTTTCACCAGTCATTTTGGTGCCCTTTAAAGCTAACTTTTTGGTGTGAGTCAAGGCTCCTTGTTGAAGGCCAAACTGTGCCCTATAATTGCTTATATTTATGACATTTGGTCTTAATAAGCAAGTACTTCAGTGCGTCCTCTTGTTTGTCTTTCGGACTTACACCAAATGTACTTTACGACCCCATCTTTTCAATGAGTTTGTGTGAACTACTGTCCCTGTCACACCATTCATAAGGACTGTATAACACACAAATCATCCACCAACTCTTTCTTGTATTTAAGTTTGAAGTCCTTTAAAAAGTAAAATACTATCATTAATAAACGTAAAAACCTCTGCAGAGAAGGTTTAATGTCGTTTATTTATATGTTGTAGAGTTCAAATGGGAGAGTTCCGAAGGTTAATTTTGTGCCATATCAGACTTACAACTGACTTTAAATTGTCAACTTATCAAATACAAAAAAAACACAAGAATTGCTGTCCATTTGTTTAACATGGTGCAGTGTTTCAACATTCCACTACCAATTCTAAAACTGGGAATATTTCGGTTTGTATAAATTTCCTGTAATGAATTTTCATTACTGGTCAATTATACGTATAATCTTCTTAAACATGCCCAGATGCATTCAAATATTTGACAAAAATTGAAATTAAATATGAAAATGTCAAGATTCTATAAAAACATATTATAATCCTTATGATTGTGACTACAATAACAATTAGACTTGGATATCATTTGATGTGATTAAATGATTACAACTTCCATTACAGTATTTATGAAAGATATGTTTGAAATGCAAGCAATGACCTGTATTCAACTTGACATAAAGCTTTTGATTGTTGTTGACACCTCACCTACGGGATCAATAACGGTCACAGTACGATTAATTATCGGGAATTAAATGAGATAAAACAAATGGTCCATAAGTATATACAAATAACAAATAGTATGCTTTTAACATAATACAAGGCTAAAAATAAATCAATATAAATATTCTAATAATTTAATAACATCAGTTGATATATCCGAAAGATGGAATTTCAATTCATGATATTGCAAACCTGGAGCTATAATAACGGCTGATGCTGGGATGTCGAAGAAAGGAAAGAAAAAAAGATTCTCCTCCTCCTCCCTCTCCCGTTATCTCATAATAAAGTTGTGTACAGTTGATGCCAATTCTGGAGTTGCAATAACTAGTGATTCTGGGATGTCGAAAAAGTCTATTTCATTGGTTTACTAAAAGTCCACTTCCAGTGCAGTGTCTTTCTCTCGTAAAAACTCTTCTAAAATATTAATGGTAAGAGTAATAAAATATGATACAACATTAAAGAATACTCACCAAAGCATCAGCCCATTACTGCTCAAAATCTCCACTGTCGACATAACATATAGGACTAGCATTTAGATCATTCAACAACCTTTAGCTTTCCTCTTCTGACACTGGCAGTTTCTTGGCTTGAACGGCCATAACTCTATTTTGTAGCTTCTGTAATAAAAACTTTTCAATTTGATTTAAATTAACTAGTTGATATCTATGAGAGAAAAACAATAATTTTCTGCATGCAGTTATTCTACCTTTATGCAGTTGTTATCAAAACCATATTCCCTAAGGGTGACTGGGGAATAGAAATATGGTCACTTGGTCTTCTTCCGACCGGCAGTAAAACGCTTGCCAAAGTGGGGCGTCCGTTTGGCTGTGCGGGATGCATCAAGTTTGCAGCTACGTCCGGTCAGAATGGGGACGTTAAATCCGATGTCTTGTGTAAAGAGAAATGTTAACTTGTTCTCGTCCTGAACATGCATGAAATATTTGCCACTGGACGTGAAGCAACCAACAATCAATCAATCAAAATCATATGTACTATGCTCCCATTATGATTTTCCATTTGTAGAGGACCATAAAATTGGGTTCAAAACTCTTAATTTGGCATTGTAATTATAATTACCTCTCCTTTGAGCAAATACTATTTTGTAATCGGTTACATCCACATAGGAAATGATCGTCCTCCCCTATGTCTTCTACTTTGATTTGTAAACATATTATGTACCCACTGCCCGCATAGGTTACATTCAACCCATGAAGGGTTGTGCTGAGGATTTGCTTTGGATGTTTTTAAGCAACAGGACAACCCTTCAAAGGCACATTCTTCAATATTTGCAGCATATGGGCCAGCTGAGCAAACTGCTGGTACAACATGGCGTACAGTGCCATATCTGCAATATCAAAAACAAAACTTATACACATTTTAAGGAAAACCATGATACTTTTATTCAATAGAACATTTTAAGAGATTAGACATTAATAAAATTCTCCCCAAGGGTGACTGGGAAAGTGAAGTATGGTCACCATTGGTCTTCCTCCGACCGGCGGTAAAACCCTCGTCAAAGTGGGGCGTCCGCTTGGCTCTGCGGGATTTACAAATTTGCAGCCACGTCCGGTCAGAATGGGGACGTTAAATCCGATGCCTCGTTTAAAGAGAGTGCCACGCTCTTTGCACGTTAAGAACCCTTGCAACAACTCTTTGAGGGGTCCGTAGGTGACCTGTTGCAAGGCTAAATTTCTGTCCCTATCCAATATACCCTCATTTCCCGTGGCAGTCTAAATTTCTCCGACCTTAATCCCTTAATCTTTTACAGAACCTACCTATTGTATTTATTGTGAACTTGTTCTCGTCCTGAATATGCATGAAATATTTGCCACTGGACGTTAAGCAACCAACTATCAATAAATCAATTAATAAAATTGGTCAGCTACAGATGTTTTTTTATTGAATAACATAATGGGTAATTAGGCGACTTATTTGTGCATTTGCCCATATCTGTTTTTCAATATTTCATAATTTCAATCAGTCTAATGTGTAAAAATTTAAATACCCGGCACTCCCAGTTTCCTCAACAAAAAAAAGAGGCCACCGTGGAATAGCTAGTAGTGCATAAACTGGCGTGAAAGACCAAATAATCAATCAATCAATCAATCCGAATTAGAAATATGTATAATCAAACATTCCTTTGATATTTGGCATGGGCCCAAAAATCTAGGAAAGAAGGTCATAAAGATAGGTATCATAGAAACAATTTAATTCATATATTATTCATGTCTGTTTGTCCATCAACTTATTTATCTAATCTGAAACTCAGCCTTAACGAGTGAATGAATTTTGAAAAGAAACCTTGATGGAATCATTATTAATTGAATTCATGATGGATTGATGCCATTTCATTATTGATTGCGTTGGTTTTTTTTGTTTTCTACAAATACAATTCCACTTTTAGGTGGTATTAATTTTGTTATTTTGAATAACAGTTATAATAAGCTTTAAAAATACATTTTATCTTGAATGTTTACAATAATCTTTTGTTCTACAAGAATCTGCTCTTTGTTTTAATGTAACTTATTTTCAACAGGCTGGGCAGGAAAAGGAAATGAAATGTCTATTGGAATGGACTAGAGATATTGTAAATCACTTTTGGTATTCTGCAGATGTATCAAAGTCTATTCAAGAATTCATGGTATGTTATGATATGGTAGTACATGTTCTTGTCTATGGTTTTTGTTTGATCTGATTATATTTTATGATTAAATACCTCCTCGTCCAGTAAAATTCAGAAAAAGAAATCTTTTTAAAAAGCGACTAAAAATCAGTAATGAATGTTTTAAAGACATGTATCAAAAAAAGAAAATTATGTATGAATATTTTACTCCCGGCTTGAAAAAATATCATTGTCCCATAGGGGAAAATTAAATTGCATCGTGTGAGAAAAACAAAATAAGAATAATTATGTCCTATGGGAAAGATCCTGTCCGCTGCATATCTTGAGAACTGTTATGATTTGAAAGACTGTACTTGACATGTATATTAACCAACATGAACAACTTTGTAGGTCAAGGTCAAAAACAGGTTTCAAACATGAACAACTTTGTAGGTCAAAGGTCAAAAACAGGCTTCAAACATGAACAACTTTGTAGGTCAAAGGTCAAGGTCAAAAACCTAGGTTTCTAGTTTGGTACAATCATGATAATGTTGCAATTTATATGTAAGTTTAGGAATTTTAGCTAGCTTGGGATTTGCATGATGTCACATGTCATTTTTCTTGTCTCTATATTCTCATTTCCCTATTTCTTTGTAATTTGCAGTATAAAGTTGTATTTCTAATATGAATTTATCCCTCAATTGCTATTTTGAATTTACAGGGCGTGTGGTGTGGAATGATACACCATGTTGTTAATGAGCATGAATGGTCTATGTCGTACACTGACGATGGAACATATTCCTGTAAACATGGTCCGTTATGTGAAGAGAGGGAAAAGGGTTGGTTGAAAGCTGGTTCACCAGCTCATGATGCTGCCATTGGAATTGTGATGGACAAAAGATTCATTAAGAAAATTCCTTACTAATTAAACTGCAGGTATGATATAAGTTATCTACGTTCATATCCTATGTGCATTTATAACCCCACTAAAAGGGGTTGAGCTGTAACCTCTGTCTATCTGTCCCCATGATTTTTATGCCCCTGCCATAGCGGAGGGGGCATTAAGTTTTACCCTTGTCCGTCTGTACGTACGTACGTCCGTACGTCCCCAAAATTGGTTTCCGTTCTCTAACTTGAGTTTGCTTCAACCAAATGTTATGAAACTTATCCATAATGCTTATTACCACAAAACACAGATCAAGTTTGAATTTTGGTGGCGTCACTTTAACTGTTCTAGAGTTATGCCCCTTTATAAATGGAAAAATTGCAATATTTTTAGTTTTCGTTCTCTAACTTAAGTTTGCCTCAAACAATTGTTATGAAACTTACACACAATGCTTATTACCACTAAATACAGATCAAGTTTGAACTTTGGTAGCGTCACTCTAACCATTCTAGAGTTATGCCCCTTTACAAATGGAAAAATTGCAAAATTTTTAGTTTCTGTTCTCTAATTTAAGTTTGCCTCAACCAAATGTTATGAAACTTATACACAATGCTTATTACCACAAAACTCAGATCAAGTTTGAATTTTGGTGGCGTCTCGCAAACCGTTCTAGAGTAATGCCCCTTTATAAATGGAAAAAATGCAAAATTTTTAGTTTCCGTTCTCTAATTTAAGTTTGCCTCAGTTCCTCAGTTATGTCCCTTTATAACTATATGATATGCAAGCGGGGGCATCATCTGTGTCTACATGTGGACACAATCCACATTTATTTTGACTCATTTTCCACAAACTACACATTACGGCTTTTTGAAATATGGTATCAAGGTTTATATGAGCATGCTATACTGTGCAATATGTTTTCAACTTATTAACTTTCTGTTTACCTTATAATTTAAATGGGGGTATCATTAGTGAGCAGTAGCTTATAGATTCACTTGTTATTTACTTTTTTTTCAGGAGCACAGCTGAATTGGAAAATTTCCAAAACTTGATCCTTAAATATGCTTCCAAGCGCCATTCTTTTAATCCAGTTTCATACAGAGCTCGCAATCTGTTAGCAGCCCTGGATAATAATGCTCATTGCCAAAGGCAAATGATGGTCAACAAAGATGGGAGCACTAGGTAAACTATTATTTTTTTATGCCCCACCTACGATAGTTGTAGGGGCATTATGTTTTCTGGTCTGTGCGTCCGTTCGTTCGTCCGTTTGTCCGTCTGTCCTGCCTCAGGTTAAAGTTTTTGGTCAAGGTAGTTTTTGATGAAGTTGAAGTCGAATCAACCTGAAACTTAGTACACATGTTCCTCATGATAAGAACTTTCTAATTTAAATGCCAAATTAGATTTTTGACCCCAATTTCATGGTCCAGTGAACATAGAAAATGATAGTGCGAGTGGAGCATCCGTGTACTATGGACACATTCTTGTTTTTATTTGGAAAAAAATGTTTATGGAATAGTACAATACTGTCAGCCTCCATAATATGCAGACTACAATTCAAACTTTTTTGGGAAGTCCTCAAATATTTGATCTGTTAGGTCTATAAATCAATTAATAAAATTGGTCAGCTACAGATGTTTTTTTTATTGAATAACATAATGGGTAATTAGGCGACTTATTTGTGCATTTGCCCATATCTGTTTTTCAATATTTCATAATTTCAATCAGTCTAATGTGTAAAAATTTAAATACCCGGCACTCCCAGTTTCCTCAACAAAAAAAAGAGGCCACCGTGGAATAGCTAGTAGTGCATAAACTGGCGTGAAAGACCAAATAATCAATCAATCAATCAACCCGAATTAGAAATATGTATAATCAAACATTCCTTTGATATTTGGCATGGGCCCAAAAATCTAGGAAAGAAGGTCATAAAGATAGGTATCATAGAAACAATTTAATTCATATATTATTCATGTCTGTTTGTCCATCAACTTATTTATCTAATCTGAAACTCAGCCTTAACGAGTGAATGAATTTTGAAAAGAAACCTTGATGGAATCATTATTAATTGAATTCATGATGGATTGATGCCATTTCATTATTAACAGTTATAATAAGCTTTAAAAATACATTTTATCTTGAATGTTTACAATAATCTTTTGTTCTACAAGAATCTGCTCTTTGTTTTAATGTAACTTATTTTCAACAGGCTGGGCAGGAAAAGGAAATGAAATGTCTATTGGAATGGACTAGAGATATTGTAAATCACTTTTGGTATTCTGCAGATGTATCAAAGTCTATTCAAGAATTCATGGTATGTTATGATATGGTAGTACATGTTCTTGTCTATGGTTTTTGTTTGATCTGATTATATTTTATGATTAAATACCTCCTCGTCCAGTAAAATTCAGAAAAAGAAATCTTTTTAAAAAGCGACTAAAAATCAGTAATGAATGTTTTAAAGACATGTATCAAAAAAAGAAAATTATGTATGAATATTTTACTCCCGGCTTGAAAAAATATCATTGTCCCATAGGGGAAAATTAAATTGCATCGTGTGAGAAAAACAAAATAAGAATAATTATGTCCTATGGGAAAGATCCTGTCCGCTGCATATCTTGAGAACTGTTATGATTTGAAAGACTGTACTTGACATGTATATTAACCAACATGAACAACTTTGTAGGTCAAGGTCAAAAACAGGTTTCAAACATGAACAACTTTGTAGGTCAAAGGTCAAAAACAGGCTTCAAACATGAACAACTTTGTAGGTCAAAGGTCAAGGTCAAAAACCTAGGTTTCTAGTTTGGTACAATCATGATAATGTTGCAATTTATATGTAAGTTTAGGAATTTTAGCTAGCTTGGGATTTGCATGATGTCACATGTCATTTTTCTTGTCTCTATATTCTCATTTCCCTATTTCTTTGTAATTTGCAGTATAAAGTTGTATTTCTAATATGAATTTATCCCTCAATTGCTATTTTGAATTTACAGGGCGTGTGGTGTGGAATGATACACCATGTTGTTAATGAGCATGAATGGTCTATGTCGTACACTGACGATGGAACATATTCCTGTAAACATGGTCCGTTATGTGAAGAGAGGGAAAAGGGTTGGTTGAAAGCTGGTTCACCAGCTCATGATGCTGCCATTGGAATTGTGATGGACAAAAGATTCATTAAGAAAATTCCTTACTACTTAAACTGCAGGTATGATATAAGTTATCTACGTTCATATCCTAAGTGCATTTATAACCCCACTAAAAGGGGTTGAGCTGTAACCTCTGTCTATCTGTCCCCATGATTTTTATGCCCCTGCCATAGCGGAGGGGGCATTAAGTTTTACCCTTGTCCGTCTGTACGTACGTACGTCCGTACGTCCCCAAAATTGGTTTCCGTTCTCTAACTTGAGTTTGCTTCAACCAAATGTTATGAAACTTATCCATAATGCTTATTACCACAAAACACAGATCAAGTTTGAATTTTGGTGGCGTCACTTTAACTGTTCTAGAGTTATGCCCCTTTATAAATGGAAAAATTGCAATATTTTTAGTTTTCGTTCTCTAACTTAAGTTTGCCTCAAACAATTGTTATGAAACTTACACACAATGCTTATTACCACTAAATACAGATCAAGTTTGAACTTTGGTAGCGTCACTCTAACCATTCTAGAGTTATGCCCCTTTACAAATGGAAAAATTGCAAAATTTTTAGTTTCTGTTCTCTAATTTAAGTTTGCCTCAACCAAATGTTATGAAACTTATACACAATGCTTATTACCACAAAACTCAGATCAAGTTTGAATTTTGGTGGCGTCTCGCAAACCGTTCTAGAGTAATGCCCCTTTATAAATGGAAAAAATGCAAAATTTTTAGTTTCCGTTCTCTAATTTAAGTTTGCCTCAGTTCCTCAGTTATGTCCCTTTATAACTATATGATATGCAAGCGGGGGCATCATCTGTGTCTACATGTGGACACAATCCACATTTATTTTGACTCATTTTCCACAAACTACACATTACGGCTTTTTGAAATATGGTATCAAGGTTTATATGAGCATGCTATACTATGCAATATGTTTTCAACTTATTAACTTTCTGTTTACCTTATAATTTAAATGGGGGTATCATTAGTGAGCAGTAGCTTATAGATTCACTTGTTATTTACTTTTTTTTCAGGAGCACATCTGAATTGGAAAATTTCCAAAACTTGATCCTTAAATATGCTTCCAAGCGCCATTCTTTTAATCCAGTTTCATACAGAGCTCGCAATCTGTTAGCAGCCCTGGATAATAATGCTCATTGCCAAAGGCAAATGATGGTCAACAAAGATGGGAGCACTAGGTAAACTATTATTTTTTTATGCCCCACCTACGATAGTTGTAGGGGCATTATGTTTTCTGGTCTGTGCGTCCGTTCGTTCGTCCGTTTGTCCGTCTGTCCTGCCTCAGGTTAAAGTTTTTGGTCAAGGTAGTTTTTGATGAAGTTGAAGTCGAATCAACCTGAAACTTAGTACACATGTTCCTCATGATAAGAACTTTCTAATTTAAATGCCAAATTAGATTTTTGACCCCAATTTCATGGTCCAGTGAACATAGAAAATGATAGTGCGAGTGGAGCATCCGTGTACTATGGACACATTCTTGTTTTTATTTGGAAAAAAATGTTTATGGAATAGTACAATACTGTCAGCCTCCATAATATGCAGACTGCAATTCAAACTTTTTTGGGAAGTCCTCAAATATTTGATCTGTTGGGTCTATAAATCAATTAATAAAATTGGTCAGCTACAGATGTTTTTTTTATTGAATAACATAATGGGTAATTAGGCGACTTATTTGTGCATTTGCCCATATCTGTTTTTCAATATTTCATAATTTCAATCAGTCTAATGTGTAAAAATTTAAATACCCGGCACTCCCAGTTTCCTCAACAAAAAAAGAGGCCACCGTGGAATAGCTAGTAGTGCATAAACTGGCGTGAAAGACCAAATAATCAATCAATCAATCAACCCGAATTAGAAATATGTATAATCAAACATTCCTTTGATATTTGGCATGGGCCCAAAAATCTAGGAAAGAAGGTCATAAAGATAGGTATCATAGAAACAATTTAATTCATATATTATTCATGTCTGTTTGTCCATCAACTTATTTATCTAATCTGAAACTCAGCCTTAACGAGTGAATGAATTTTGAAAAGAAACCTTGATGGAATCATTATTAATTGAATTCATGATGGATTGATGCCATTTCATTATTGATTGCGTTGGTTTTTTTTGTTTTCTACAAATACAATTCCACTTTTAGGTGGTATTAATTTTGTTATTTTGAATAACAGTTATAATAAGCTTTAAAAATACATTTTATCTTGAATGTTTACAATAATCTTTTGTTCTACAAGAATCTGCTCTTTGTTTTAATGTAACTTATTTTCAACAGGCTGGGCAGGAAAAGGAAATGAAATGTCTATTGGAATGGACTAGAGATATTGTAAATCACTTTTGGTATTCTGCAGATGTATCAAAGTCTATTCAAGAATTCATGGTATGTTATGATATGGTAGTACATGTTCTTGTCTATGGTTTTTGTTTGATCTGATTATATTTTATGATTAAATACCTCCTCGTCCAGTAAAATTCAGAAAAAGAAATCTTTTTAAAAAGCGACTAAAAATCAGTAATGAATGTTTTAAAGACATGTATCAAAAAAAGAAAATTATGTATGAATATTTTACTCCCGGCTTGAAAAAATATCATTGTCCCATAGGGGAAAATTAAATTGCATCGTGTGAGAAAAACAAAATAAGAATAATTATGTCCTATGGGAAAGATCCTGTCCGCTGCATATCTTGAGAACTGTTATGATTTGAAAGACTGTACTTGACATGTATATTAACCAACATGAACAACTTTGTAGGTCAAGGTCAAAAACAGGTTTCAAACATGAACAACTTTGTAGGTCAAAGGTCAAAAACAGGCTTCAAACATGAACAACTTTGTAGGTCAAAGGTCAAGGTCAAAAACCTAGGTTTCTAGTTTGGTACAATCATGATAATGTTGCAATTTATATGTAAGTTTAGGAATTTTAGCTAGCTTGGGATTTGCATGATGTCACATGTCATTTTTCTTGTCTCTATATTCTCATTTCCCTATTTCTTTGTAATTTGCAGTATAAAGTTGTATTTCTAATATGAATTTATCCCTCAATTGCTATTTTGAATTTACAGGGCGTGTGGTGTGGAATGATACACCATGTTGTTAATGAGCATGAATGGTCTATGTCGTACACTGACGATGGAACATATTCCTGTAAACATGGTCCGTTATGTGAAGAGAGGGAAAAGGGTTGGTTGAAAGCTGGTTCACCAGCTCATGATGCTGCCATTGGAATTGTGATGGACAAAAGATTCATTAAGAAAATTCCTTACTACTTAAACTGCAGGTATGATATAAGTTATCTACGTTCATATCCTAAGTGCATTTATAACCCCACTAAAAGGGGTTGAGCTGTAACCTCTGTCTATCTGTCCCCATGATTTTTATGCCCCTGCCATAGCGGAGGGGGCATTAAGTTTTACCCTTGTCCGTCTGTACGTACGTACGTCCGTACGTCCCCAAAATTGGTTTCCGTTCTCTAACTTGAGTTTGCTTCAACCAAATGTTATGAAACTTATCCATAATGCTTATTACCACAAAACACAGATCAAGTTTGAATTTTGGTGGCGTCACTTTAACTGTTCTAGAGTTATGCCCCTTTATAAATGGAAAAATTGCAATATTTTTAGTTTTCGTTCTCTAACTTAAGTTTGCCTCAAACAATTGTTATGAAACTTACACACAATGCTTATTACCACTAAATACAGATCAAGTTTGAACTTTGGTAGCGTCACTCTAACCATTCTAGAGTTATGCCCCTTTACAAATGGAAAAATTGCAAAATTTTTAGTTTCTGTTCTCTAATTTAAGTTTGCCTCAACCAAATGTTATGAAACTTATACACAATGCTTATTACCACAAAACTCAGATCAAGTTTGAATTTTGGTGGCGTCTCGCAAACCGTTCTAGAGTAATGCCCCTTTATAAATGGAAAAAATGCAAAATTTTTAGTTTCCGTTCTCTAATTTAAGTTTGCCTCAGTTCCTCAGTTATGTCCCTTTATAACTATATGATATGCAAGCGGGGGCATCATCTGTGTCTACATGTGGACACAATCCACATTTATTTTGACTCATTTTCCACAAACTACACATTACGGCTTTTTGAAATATGGTATCAAGGTTTATATGAGCATGCTATACTATGCAATATGTTTTCAACTTATTAACTTTCTGTTTACCTTATAATTTAAATGGGGGTATCATTAGTGAGCAGTAGCTTATAGATTCACTTGTTATTTACTTTTTTTTCAGGAGCACATCTGAATTGGAAAATTTCCAAAACTTGATCCTTAAATATGCTTCCAAGCGCCATTCTTTTAATCCAGTTTCATACAGAGCTCGCAATCTGTTAGCAGCCCTGGATAATAATGCTCATTGCCAAAGGCAAATGATGGTCAACAAAGATGGGAGCACTAGGTAAACTATTATTTTTTTATGCCCCACCTACGATAGTTGTAGGGGCATTATGTTTTCTGGTCTGTGCGTCCGTTCGTTCGTCCGTTTGTCCGTCTGTCCTGCCTCAGGTTAAAGTTTTTGGTCAAGGTAGTTTTTGATGAAGTTGAAGTCGAATCAACCTGAAACTTAGTACACATGTTCCTCATGATAAGAACTTTCTAATTTAAATGCCAAATTAGATTTTTGACCCCAATTTCATGGTCCAGTGAACATAGAAAATGATAGTGCGAGTGGAGCATCCGTGTACTATGGACACATTCTTGTTTTTATTTGGAAAAAAATGTTTATGGAATAGTACAATACTGTCAGCCTCCATAATATGCAGACTGCAATTCAAACTTTTTTGGGAAGTCCTCAAATATTTGATCTGTTGGGTCTATAAATCAATTAATAAAATTGGTCAGCTACAGATGTTTTTTTTATTGAATAACATAATGGGTAATTAGGCGACTTATTTGTGCATTTGCCCATATCTGTTTTTCAATATTTCATAATTTCAATCAGTCTAATGTGTAAAAATTTAAATACCCGGCACTCCCAGTTTCCTCAACAAAAAAAAGAGGCCACCGTGGAATAGCTAGTAGTGCATAAACTGGCGTGAAAGACCAAATAATCAATCAATCAATCAACCCGAATTAGAAATATGTATAATCAAACATTCCTTTGATATTTGGCATGGGCCCAAAAATCTAGGAAAGAAGGTCATAAAGATAGGTATCATAGAAACAATTTAATTCATATATTATTCATGTCTGTTTGTCCATCAACTTATTTATCTAATCTGAAACTCAGCCTTAACGAGTGAATGAATTTTGAAAAGAAACCTTGATGGAATCATTATTAATTGAATTCATGATGGATTGATGCCATTTCATTATTGATTGCGTTGGTTTTTTTTGTTTTCTACAAATACAATTCCACTTTTAGGTGGTATTAATTTTGTTATTTTGAATAACAGTTATAATAAGCTTTAAAAATACATTTTATCTTGAATGTTTACAATAATCTTTTGTTCTACAAGAATCTGCTCTTTGTTTTAATGTAACTTATTTTCAACAGGCTGGGCAGGAAAAGGAAATGAAATGTCTATTGGAATGGACTAGAGATATTGTAAATCACTTTTGGTATTCTGCAGATGTATCAAAGTCTATTCAAGAATTCATGGTATGTTATGATATGGTAGTACATGTTCTTGTCTATGGTTTTTGTTTGATCTGATTATATTTTATGATTAAATACCTCCTCGTCCAGTAAAATTCAGAAAAAGAAATCTTTTTAAAAAGCGACTAAAAATCAGTAATGAATGTTTTAAAGACATGTATCAAAAAAAGAAAATTATGTATGAATATTTTACTCCCGGCTTGAAAAAATATCATTGTCCCATAGGGGAAAATTAAATTGCATCGTGTGAGAAAAACAAAATAAGAATAATTATGTCCTATGGGAAAGATCCTGTCCGCTGCATATCTTGAGAACTGTTATGATTTGAAAGACTGTACTTGACATGTATATTAACCAACATGAACAACTTTGTAGGTCAAGGTCAAAAACAGGTTTCAAACATGAACAACTTTGTAGGTCAAAGGTCAAAAACAGGCTTCAAACATGAACAACTTTGTAGGTCAAAGGTCAAGGTCAAAAACCTAGGTTTCTAGTTTGGTACAATCATGATAATGTTGCAATTTATATGTAAGTTTAGGAATTTTAGCTAGCTTGGGATTTGCATGATGTCACATGTCATTTTTCTTGTCTCTATATTCTCATTTCCCTATTTCTTTGTAATTTGCAGTATAAAGTTGTATTTCTAATATGAATTTATCCCTCAATTGCTATTTTGAATTTACAGGGCGTGTGGTGTGGAATGATACACCATGTTGTTAATGAGCATGAATGGTCTATGTCGTACACTGACGATGGAACATATTCCTGTAAACATGGTCCGTTATGTGAAGAGAGGGAAAAGGGTTGGTTGAAAGCTGGTTCACCAGCTCATGATGCTGCCATTGGAATTGTGATGGACAAAAGATTCATTAAGAAAATTCCTTACTACTTAAACTGCAGGTATGATATAAGTTATCTACGTTCATATCCTAAGTGCATTTATAACCCCACTAAAAGGGGTTGAGCTGTAACCTCTGTCTATCTGTCCCCATGATTTTTATGCCCCTGCCATAGCGGAGGGGGCATTAAGTTTTACCCTTGTCCGTCTGTACGTACGTACGTCCGTACGTCCCCAAAATTGGTTTCCGTTCTCTAACTTGAGTTTGCTTCAACCAAATGTTATGAAACTTATCCATAATGCTTATTACCACAAAACACAGATCAAGTTTGAATTTTGGTGGCGTCACTTTAACTGTTCTAGAGTTATGCCCCTTTATAAATGGAAAAATTGCAATATTTTTAGTTTTCGTTCTCTAACTTAAGTTTGCCTCAAACAATTGTTATGAAACTTACACACAATGCTTATTACCACTAAATACAGATCAAGTTTGAACTTTGGTAGCGTCACTCTAACCATTCTAGAGTTATGCCCCTTTACAAATGGAAAAATTGCAAAATTTTTAGTTTCTGTTCTCTAATTTAAGTTTGCCTCAACCAAATGTTATGAAACTTATACACAATGCTTATTACCACAAAACTCAGATCAAGTTTGAATTTTGGTGGCGTCTCGCAAACCGTTCTAGAGTAATGCCCCTTTATAAATGGAAAAAATGCAAAATTTTTAGTTTCCGTTCTCTAATTTAAGTTTGCCTCAGTTCCTCAGTTATGTCCCTTTATAACTATATGATATGCAAGCGGGGGCATCATCTGTGTCTACATGTGGACACAATCCACATTTATTTTGACTCATTTTCCACAAACTACACATTACGGCTTTTTGAAATATGGTATCAAGGTTTATATGAGCATGCTATACTATGCAATATGTTTTCAACTTATTAACTTTCTGTTTACCTTATAATTTAAATGGGGGTATCATTAGTGAGCAGTAGCTTATAGATTCACTTGTTATTTACTTTTTTTTCAGGAGCACATCTGAATTGGAAAATTTCCAAAACTTGATCCTTAAATATGCTTCCAAGCGCCATTCTTTTAATCCAGTTTCATACAGAGCTCGCAATCTGTTAGCAGCCCTGGATAATAATGCTCATTGCCAAAGGCAAATGATGGTCAACAAAGATGGGAGCACTAGGTAAACTATTAATTTTTTATGCCCCACCTACGATAGTTGTAGGGGCATTATGTTTTCTGGTCTGTGCGTCCGTTCGTTCGTCCGTTTGTCCGTCTGTCCTGCCTCAGGTTAAAGTTTTTGGTCAAGGTAGTTTTTGATGAAGTTGAAGTCGAATCAACCTGAAACTTAGTACACATGTTCCTCATGATAAGAACTTTCTAATTTAAATGCCAAATTAGATTTTTGACCCCAATTTCATGGTCCAGTGAACATAGAAAATGATAGTGCGAGTGGAGCATCCGTGTACTATGGACACATTCTTGTTTTTATTTGGAAAAAAATGTTTATGGAATAGTACAATACTGTCAGCCTCCATAATATGCAGACTGCAATTCAAACTTTTTTGGGAAGTCCTCAAATATTTGATCTGTTGGGTCTATAAATCAATTAATAAAATTGGTCAGCTACAGATGTTTTTTTTATTGAATAACATAATGGGTAATTAGGCGACTTATTTGTGCATTTGCCCATATCTGTTTTTCAATATTTTATAATTTCAATCAGTCTAAAGTGTAAAAATTTAAATACCCGGCACTCCAAGTTTCCTCAACAAAAAAAAGAGGCCACCGTGGAATAGCTAGTAGTGCATAAACTGGCGTGAAAGACCAAATAATCAATCAATCAATCAACCCGAATTAGAAATATGTATAATCAAACATTCCTTTGATATTTGGCATGGGCCCAAAAATCTAGGAAAGAAGGTCATAAAGATAGGTATCATAGAAACAATTTAATTCATATATTATTCATGTCTGTTTGTCCATCAACTTATTTATCTAATCTGAAACTCAGCCTTAACGAGTGAATGAATTTTGAAAAGAAACCTTGATGGAATCATTATTAATTGAATTCATGATGGATTGATGCCATTTCATTATTGATTGCGTTGGTTTTTTTTGTTTTCTACAAATACAATTCCACTTTTAGGTGGTATTAATTTTGTTATTTTGAATAACAGTTATAATAAGCTTTAAAAATACATTTTATCTTGAATGTTTACAATAATCTTTTGTTCTACAAGAATCTGCTCTTTGTTTTAATGTAACTTATTTTCAACAGGCTGGGCAGGAAAAGGAAATGAAATGTCTATTGGAATGGACTAGAGATATTGTAAATCACTTTTGGTATTCTGCAGATGTATCAAAGTCTATTCAAGAATTCATGGTATGTTATGATATGGTAGTACATGTTCTTGTCTATGGTTTTTGTTTGATCTGATTATATTTTATGATTAAATACCTCCTCGTCCAGTAAAATTCAGAAAAAGAAATCTTTTTAAAAAGCGACTAAAAATCAGTAATGAATGTTTTAAAGACATGTATCAAAAAAAGAAAATTATGTATGAATATTTTACTCCCGGCTTGAAAAAATATCATTGTCCCATAGGGGAAAATTAAATTGCATCGTGTGAGAAAAACAAAATAAGAATAATTATGTCCTATGGGAAAGATCCTGTCCGCTGCATATCTTGAGAACTGTTATGATTTGAAAGACTGTACTTGACATGTATATTAACCAACATGAACAACTTTGTAGGTCAAGGTCAAAAACAGGTTTCAAACATGAACAACTTTGTAGGTCAAAGGTCAAAAACAGGCTTCAAACATGAACAACTTTGTAGGTCAAGGTCAAAAACCTAGGTTTCTAGTTTGGTACAATCATGATAATGTTGCAATTTATATGTAAGTTTAGGAATTTTAGCTAGCTTGGGATTTGCATGATGTCACATGTCATTTTTCTTGTCTCTATATTCTCATTTCCCTATTTCTTTGTAATTTGCAGTATAAAGTTGTATTTCTAATATGAATTTATCCCTCAATTGCTATTTTGAATTTACAGGGCGTGTGGTGTGGAATGATACACCATGTTGTTAATGAGCATGAATGGTCTATGTCGTACACTGACGATGGAACATATTCCTGTAAACATGGTCCGTTATGTGAAGAGAGGGAAAAGGGTTGGTTGAAAGCTGGTTCACCAGCTCATGATGCTGCCATTGGAATTGTGATGGACAAAAGATTCATTAAGAAAATTCCTTACTACTTAAACTGCAGGTATGATATAAGTTATCTACGTTCATATCCTAAGTGCATTTATAACCCCACTAAAAGGGGTTGAGCTGTAACCTCTGTCTATCTGTCCCCATGATTTTTATGCCCCTGCCATAGCGGAGGGGGCATTAAGTTTTACCCTTGTCCGTCTGTACGTACGTACGTCCGTACGTCCCCAAAATTGGTTTCCGTTCTCTAACTTGAGTTTGCTTCAACCAAATGTTATGAAACTTATCCATAATGCTTATTACCACAAAACACAGATCAAGTTTGAATTTTGGTGGCGTCACTTTAACTGTTCTAGAGTTATGCCCCTTTATAAATGGAAAAATTGCAATATTTTTAGTTTTCGTTCTCTAACTTAAGTTTGCCTCAAACAATTGTTATGAAACTTACACACAATGCTTATTACCACTAAATACAGATCAAGTTTGAACTTTGGTAGCGTCACTCTAACCATTCTAGAGTTATGCCCCTTTACAAATGGAAAAATTGCAAAATTTTTAGTTTCTGTTCTCTAATTTAAGTTTGCCTCAACCAAATGTTATGAAACTTATACACAATGCTTATTACCACAAAACTCAGTTCAAGTTTGAATTTTGGTGGCGTCTCGCAAACCGTTCTAGAGTAATGCCCCTTTATAAATGGAAAAAATGCAAAATTTTTAGTTTCCGTTCTCTAATTTAAGTTTGCCTCAGTTCCTCAGTTATGTCCCTTTATAACTATATGATATGCAAGCGGGGGCATCATCTGTGTCTACATGTGGACACAATCCACATTTATTTTGACTCATTTTCCACAAACTACACATTACGGCTTTTTGAAATATGGTATCAAGGTTTATATGAGCATGCTATACTGTGCAATATGTTTTCAACTTATTAACTTTCTGTTTACCTTATAATTTAAATGGGGGTATCATTAGTGAGCAGTAGCTTATAGATTCACTTGTTATTTACTTTTTTTTCAGGAGCACAGCTGAATTGGAAAATTTCCAAAACTTGATCCTTAAATATGCTTCCAAGCGCCATTCTTTTAATCCAGTTTCATACAGAGCTCGCAATCTGTTAGCAGCCCTGGATAATAATGTTCATTGCCAAAGGCAAATGATGGTCAACAAAGATGGGAGCACTAGGTAAACTATTATTTTTTTATGCCCCACCTACGATAGTTGTAGGGGCATTATGTTTTCTGGTCTGTGCGTCCGTTCGTTCGTCCGTTTGTCCGTCTGTCCTGCCTCAGGTTAAAGTTTTTGGTCAAGGTAGTTTTTGATGAAGTTGAAGTCGAATCAACCTGAAACTTAGTACACATGTTCCTCATGATAAGAACTTTCTAATTTAAATGCCAAATTAGATTTTTGACCCCAATTTCATGGTCCAGTGAACATAGAAAATGATAGTGCGAGTGGAGCATCCGTGTACTATGGACACATTCTTGTTTTTATTTGGAAAAAAATGTTTATGGAATAGTACAATACTGTCAGCCTCCATAATATGCAGACTGCAATTCAAACTTTTTTGGGAAGTCCTCAAATATTTGATCTGTTGGGTCTGTCTATCACTTGGTACACTATTGAATACTTGTATTAAAAAAATATTTTAGGTATCAGAGATACTACAGCAAGACTGGTATTCAGTGGTCAGTGTATGCTAAAAGGGAGGACAAAGACTATCACCATGTTCCTACCATAATAAAAACCATAGTAGAAAACCGATTACAAGATCCTGTTGGGATGAACAGAAAAGTGCTGCTAGATGTCAATGACCCAAGGAGAGTGTCAGCAGTACTTGCACCAACCTTGCCACCATCAACAGCTGATCTTGTCGCACAAAAATATCAAGATTTAACAAGGAAGACCCAGAAAAAACTCTTGATTACAGTTGGACTGATGGATTGTTGTCCGTTTAACTACTAGTTGTTTATAATATTTCATGCATAATGAATTGTTGAAGCGTCTTAGAAAGTGTTTTATGGTCAGACAAAAATAAAATCGCCCAACATTTTATTCCAGATCAGCTCTTATTGATTGTGTACCTGTATTGTACGAATTAGAATAGACCTTGTATGTTAATGATACTAATTCATTGTAATTTAGTATTAAATAAGTCAAAATGTCTCAGGTTGTTTTACACAGGACTCTCTTGTCTTTTATTAAAAGATTAGCATTTCAGAAGGTATAAGACCAGGATGCTTCATATTTTGTATATAGATGCCATATGTTATGAACTTTTTGTCTGTTATTTGACCCTGACCTCATTTTCATGGTTGAATGACTGCTTCAAAAAAAGGGAATATTTTTTTGTTGTGTAAATTTCTGTCTTATTTATATTATGTCACCTGCACATGCAGAAGCGACTGATAGGGATCACCATATGTTGTCTTGCGTCCGTGTTGGCAACAATCTTGATATTTGGCTCAAAGTTTTATCCCAGGGTGCTATACCATGTAAAGTGATATTATTGTCATTGATCATGAACTTCCTGTTAAAACTTGTCATTTCTTGGCGACATATGTTTTCAATGGAAAACTCGCAAACATTTTTTATAAGTAACTATGTTTGGAATCTGCGTACCTTGCAAGATCCTCATGCCTGTCAGACAGTTTTCTCTTGACCATAATGAATGGGTGAACAATATTTGGTTTATGCAAGGTGTATATTTTCGTCTGGTTGGTATAATCTGACCTTGACCTTATAAAATTTCTCTGATTTATTCTGTTTTTCAGATTCTATAGGGATAGTAGAACTATATTTGGTGTATTGAATACTTGTAAATTGTGTATGTCTGTCTGGCAGATGTCCGTTGACCTAGACTTAATTTTCATGGTTCATTGGTCAGTGGCAATTTTTTTAACTTGTTTGCTCTGTTTTTCAAGTATCATTTGGAAAAGGTGAAATATATTTGGTTTATGCAAGGTGTACATTTTTGGTCTGGTCAGTAATATCTGACCTTTACATTATTTGCATAGTTCATGGTTCCGATTCTATAGGGATAGTAAAACTATATTTAATTTATTGAATAATTGAAAAGTGTGTGTGTCTGTCCGGCAGGTGTCAGTTGACCTTGACCTTATTTTCATGGTTCTTTGGTCAAAGTTCAATTATATTGATGTGTGTGTTAGAGCAATGAAATCTTGTATATAGATGCACCTTTGGTAGCACTACAAGACCCAATCAAAATAATAATTGCGAGTGCCATTTCACAGTTCAGCAACTTGCATCTATGGTAGTCAATCAGCATCAAGACAAAATATGATCAAAATATGATCATTGTAACCTATATTTCATGGTTCACTGACTTAAAATTTCATAAGAAGATATGGTATGAATGCCCATGAGACAACTCTACAGTCTTCAACACAGATCGTTGGCTTACACTTAACAGCAAGCTATAAAAGTCACAAAAAAGATCAGTGTAAAACAATTCGAACAGGAAAACTTAATTTATATACAAATTGAGAAACGAAAACAATAACAAACAACAACCAATGAACAATGGTAGTTCATCAGTATCCAGACTAAAATTTAATCACTGTGACCTATATTTCATAGTACTGACTGACTATGTTGTTTTCTTTGAGAACCTTTCCCATATGTAATTATTTGGTCTATGCTTTGTGCTATTGTTGATTCAGATCATTATTCTTCAGTTTGGTGCTCAGAAAATAAAACCTTTTTTTTCATATTACTATTTTTATTTAGCCAAGTCTGCCACCAACAAATCCAACATACTGGCCAGTTCCATCGGGATACTTATCCCTAATTCTCCAAACACAACAGCTCGGTATAACCCTCCTGTTGCCGGCCCCCAAATATCCATGTATCCATAGGATATACTGCCTGTAGGCAGCATGGCGATGACACCTGTTGTAATTGTCATCTTCAGGCTGTGCCAGAAAATCATTCCGGTACCGGATTGCCAGCTCCAAAACAAGTTCATCCAGAACACATTGCTGGAAATCCTAGAAATAAAGAATATTATTTATTATTAACTGTAGTTTTTAAAAAATACATATATTGTATCATAAATATTATACAATTCAGTGTCAAATAAGAAACGCCAAACCAACTACAATGAAGGCTTTACAGCAGAAGAAAAGAAAACAGGAAAAAAAAATTGTAAATCATATAATGCAGACAGATTCTGCAACAAGAACAGTATGACGACAGAGATGACGCAAACAAAAAGAAAATAGCATGAGCAACACAGACCCTAACAAGACATAGGTAACACCAAGGTGCAACAGAAAAGGAAGCAAGCTATATCTTTCTCTAATAATTCTATTTAAATCTTTTTAAAAAGGACATTTGTCTAAAGCAAATTGTAGGTATGTTACTGTAATCTTACCGGTAACCTTGAATGGCAATTCAATGGCTGTCTTTTGCAACACAGCCTTTACTGCTGTGTTGGCATCTCTCTACAATTAGAGCAGGAGCACCATGATGGCTGGTCTGGTTTTGGTGGTTCTGGTTCAGCTGGTCCAGCTGGCTGCCCATTGCCAACATTTGAATTGTCCAGGATGTTCAGAAGGAAACTGGGCTGTGCCTTTGATATGCGTTTTATTAGATCCCGCATGTCATCAACAGACAGCGAATTGACTCTATTCTGAAATAAAAAAAAAAAAACGATTAAAATTGAAAGTAGTACAGTCCAATGTAGCAAAAACATGCCAAAGCACAAATTATCGCTTGAACATGATGATGCAAGTAAGAAACCAAATTGTTAATGCAATAAAAACAATTGCTAAATGTAAATGTGTTTTGTTCCATTATTTGGTGTAAATAAGAAGAAACTAAGAGTATTGTTAAAAATTTCCATAATACACTTAGAAAATCACAACAAATATAATAATTATAGATCGTATGTTTCTGATCGCTTTGAAAATAACTTTGATATGACTTCTTTTTCTTACAATATACATAAGAAGATGTGCCAATGCACATCTCAAATTCAATTATCATAAGTAGGAGCTGAGAAACATACAGGACATTGGTAAGGCGGGCACAATAATTCAAAGATAATAATTTGGTATTATTTTCTGTTGCTAATCAATACCTCAAGTTCAGCTATTCTGCTTTCTCTGTTGACTTCTTGAAGCTGGGCTCTGTTTCTTTGTCCTCTTCCTCTGCCTCTTCTGCTGCCTCTCGCCTGACCTCTGCCTCGTCCGCGTCCACTGCCCCTTCCACGACCTCTCACCTGTTTTTGCTCCATAGGCTGACCAGGGTTGTTTCCATTGTCAGAGCTAAGGTCAGATGTTGGCGACCTGCTCCTTTCACTCGATGCATCTGAAAACTGTAAATAAGCTATTTATTCCATATGTACCTTATATATAAGGACAAACAATATCTGGTCAAGACAAAATTCAAGCCCCCCTTATTGGTTTTTTCGTAAATAAATATTTTGATTCTGAATTTTGAGAAAATGAATAATTTGACCAGCAAGAGGAGAAAAAAAATATTCTGACGGGATATTTACCATAAGGCATAAAAAATAATATTAAATTTAAAACAAAAATTTGTTGTGCCACTTTCCAAAAATAAATAAGTTTCTGACCAGAAAAAAAATCATGCCCCCCCCCCCCTTTTGCAAGTTAAATGGTCCTTCCCCAACTACTTTTAATGGGGATAATTTGTTTTTTAACACTAAACCGTTTCTTTTGCTTTGGGATTTTTGTCTATATTTCCAAAGCTAAAGAGCATAAAACTTTTAGAAAAATATGCTGAGCTGCCTTACCTAAAAAATATGTATAAGAAAAGAAAAAAGAAAAGAATAAAAAACATTAAAACATGTTACAGAAAAAGTTTCTATTGCTTTGCGATTTTTTTCTAAATAATTTCTAAATAAGCTAAAGAGCATAAAACTTGTAGAAAAATATGCTGAGCTGTCTAGCCAAACTCACATCTTCTTCAGAAAAAGATATGAAATAAAACTATTTACAACTAGAATTGCCATGATACATTGCATACATATGTTGCTTTACATTTTCCCTTTATATTTTTGACTATATTATGACCATTCTCATACAAAATATATATTGTGACCTTTTCCTATAATTATATATTTGACCATCTGAACATTTTCTTTTTAAAACATAGATAATGTGACTTTTTCCGATATAAGAGAGCTACCATTTGATATTAGGATCAAATTTGAAAAAAACAG